GAGTGTCAACAACCAAGACCCCTCTTCCGGCTAACCTTGATATCACCTCTGAACAGGAGGGTGATCCTTCCACGAGCACCTCTTACCTTTCTGTGGTTATGTCTCTGAGCTATGTGGCAGTGGCTACCAGACCTGACCTTTCCTTTGCAGTGAATTTCCTAGCACGATTTTCGGCCTGTCCTGGCCCTTCCCACTGGAAAGGTGTGCGTCACTTGGTCAACTATCTGGCCTACACTAAAGAAAAAACAATGATTATCAAGCCGGACAAGACTGCGGGAATCCTGAAATGTTACTGTGATGCTTCGTGGGGTGGAGAACACGCTAAATCGACATACGGGATATTCTTAACGGTGTACGGCTGCCCTATACTGTGGACATCAAGGAGATTGGCAACGGTGGCGGCGTCGACTTGTGAGGCGGAATACATGGCTTTGGGGATTGCTACTCGACAGGTACTGTGGGTTCGACAACTCCTGAAAGACATCACAAGGAGAGATCACGTAGGACAACTATACTGCGACAACCAGGCGGCTGTGAAAATTGGGACGGATGAATCATCTAACAAACAAGCAAGACACACGGAGAGGGAATTTCACATCACCAATAGAGCGCTCTACGAGAAGAAAACCTCACTGACATGGGTCTCAACCAAAGAACAACTGGCCGACATCCTTACAAAGTCCCTTACTAGAGAACCTTTTGAACGCCTCCGCGGACATTTGTTAGGAACTACTAATGGTTGTATTCATGTCTCTTAGCTGCTCTGGATTTCTTGTGGAACTTGTTTCATTTTTTTTTTTTTTTTCCTTTTTCTCTTCTTCATCCTATTTTGTACTTAGCTGTCTCCATGCGGAGTGTCTAGGTGAGGGGGGGGTGTTGTAACCCCTTTTTGGGGTCACCATCCACTCACTAGACACTCTGACACGAGGCAGAGCTACATGTTTCCTCATTCCTTTTTCGAATCATGATCTCATGCCTCAACAGCTTACACAAAAAAAAAAAAAAAAAAAAAAAAAAATACAGCCCAAGGGGCCCTGGAAAAAAACTTTTTTTTTTCAGTGTTTGTGTTTAGGACATGAGTATGTGAAATGAGTAGTGAATGCAAGAAACCTAACCTTGTGATAGACACACCTTATTTTGTGGCGTGTCTATAAATCAGCTGCTATCATCTACCTCCCCCACCTTCTTTTCTCTTATAGATTGACGGATCCTGTCAAGCAGACTGGGCAGAAGGATTATGAACAATACTGGCTATAATTCATTTCTTACCAACAAGGAAATTCAACAAGCCTTCATAGCTCAATCCTGATTGTTGTGAGAATAGAGGATAAGTAATCCTTACTGTTCATTGCTCCTGCCCATCCACCTCTTATCTACCTCATACTCCAAATGTGGAGTTTGCACACTCTCTACAGTACTGATGTGTTGAAGATCTACTAAATTTTACAAGGTTTTGATGATTTACTTTCATTTCAGCCTGCATGTTGTGGGCTATCAAATATGACTATACCTATACTGCCATGGGTGAGTAATAAGTATCCAAGGTAATGGGAAAGGCAAGTGAACTTCAGGTTTACAGAGGTGATGCTGCCTTGGCTTCTAGTTCTTAACTTAGCTGAAAGACTTCTGGTTCATCTAAATCTATACATCAAAACTATCAGTAAACAAATGTCAAGCTGATCAAGAGGAATTCTGATCAGATTGCTTGTCATTATCTGATACAAATAATGTCAATAGTGGTGGGATTGGAATGGAGAGCAGGGAGTAAATATCACCTTAAGATTCTATTTGTTCACCTTCCCTAAATCACAGATAGTCATAGGTCAGGAAGAAGCTCTGGAATTGACCACATGCATGGTTGTTTATTTATTTTTATGGCTTGGCTACCATTTCTCAAGTGATTAGAAGGGGAAAACCCAAGCTCTCTTGGAGGAGATAGATTGTGTAAATTTTATTGTGCAAGTTGGTTGATGATGTCAATGATGCCCCTGGGAATCATTTGAATAGTTGTACCCTCCAGAGGTCAAAAGCATGTTATCCAATAGGTGATTGGGAATTCACCATTTATGTAAAGCAGCCCTGAGCGGAAGGTAGTAAGGGTGCTGAAACTAGGCCAAAGAGCCCATATGTGATGCAGAATTGGTCTATCCCATTTTTTTCGTTTCCGTACATGTTTGGGGTTTAGGTTCAAACTCCCTATAAGGTCTTCCTAGGTAAAATAACTCAGGACTATGAGTGTATGTGTTCCAAAGAATGTTATTTATTAATCAACACAAATTTGATATCCCTATTTAAAATATCATTGATACAGAAAGTAAGGTATTTGAGTCTTCTATTGAGAGTTTTTTTCAGAGCACATCATGAGTCAGAGGTATCTGAAAGTGTGTGATGAGAAAAAGTCTTTTTGATCAATAAGAAGATTTCTTGGTGCACATGCTCAGAGATAGCTTGAAGTGTGTGATTATAAAGAATTATTTTTGATGAATAAGGAGATTTCTTGGTAAAAATGAGGGGAGACAGCAACAGGGATGCTTGAGAGTCACTTAGATTGGTCTAACCGCTTTCTCTGCCCTTATAGGTCTATCAATTGGACTGGGCCAGAATGATACTTTAGTCCTAGTCAGGATTTAACAATCTCTGTCCAGAATAGTGTTCCTACTATTCTTGAGACAATAGGTCTATCAATTTCAGGGACTTAGCCTGCACTTTCTCTTAGCCATTTTCAATCAACAGACCTGACCACTAACTATGTATACTATGCTGACAGATCACCATTGTCACCTGCAATCTCTCAGTCATCAGTGAGATTGATTTCTAATAGGATTATAAAGTTCTTTACCAGAGAGTTGAGCATTGAAAGCAGTTCAATCCCCACTCAGTACATCCTGTTTAATTTCAATTCAAAGAGTGTGATAAAAGATCCAAACAAGATGCGTTTCACCAGGACTTGGATTCTAGCAACTCTCACCATGATGTTCTTGAATGTAACAATAGGCTTCCAGACTGTGAAAAAAATGAACTTGTGGCAACAATTCCAACTGGGAAAAACAATTGCAGATGCTGTACCACGTGGCTCACAGATTGATGTGAATCAACTAAGCTCAATGGTTGTGAAAGAGATATCCAAAGATCCAGAACTCAGGCGCAATAAGGAGAAGATCAAAAATTTAGTGAGGCAATTCTGTCGTGAAGCTGAAGAGGAAAACCGCCCTGCCTGTGGACATGATGAAAGCGCCATTATCATGGGGAGCAAGGGTTCGGGTTTATGTGCAATATGCCTGGCAAAATTGATGCATGGTGATGGTGGAAGTAGCAGCTCAAGTTGAGAAATTACAAAGCAACACTGGTGGATGAGAATAATAAAGCAGTAAAAAAAACAAACATACAAAAGCAGATACATCCATCATAGCCCTCAGGGGCAGCGGGAAAACGTTTTTTGTTTTGTTTTGGGGAATGGTTTTGTAAAATGAGTGGTGAATCATTTATAAATGAAGGGAAACTTGCCTTGTCATAGTGAGGTACTATTTGCAATGATCCCTATTTATAATTTTATGGCCTGGATAATATTCACCTCAATCTCCATGATCTCTCCCCCAGAATAATGAATACTCCCAATAAGACACAGGGGAAAAAAAAAACAAGAATTGATCCACTACCTGAGGTCTTCTAAACCAGAAACTCATCTTCTGGTGCAATCAAGATACAAATATAATTCAAGAATTTTTGGGTAAAGTCCACATAGAAATACATATTAACTCCAATGAAAAAGCTTACCACCTGAATTCTGATTTTCTCTCCCTTATAATCAATTTTTTCTGAAAAAAGTACTGCTGTCCACATAGCAAAGCTTAAGTTCTTCTATACTGATTACAGTCCCCCAATAGTTTTTTCAATTTTCATCATCAAAGATTTGTGTCAAATCTTCAATGGCCAAGAGCCATCCTCCTGGCTGTTGAGATTTGTAGGCTTCTGCCAACTCCCATTCCCCCAGAAGGTTTTGGAGCATCAGCTCCCAAATAATTAGGGTACTGACTATAAAACTATAGGGGGGGGGCACAAGCCTGGGGCTGGGGAAATCCTGAGACAGTCCCCATGTGGTCCTCTCAATGCCTTCCAAATTTGGTAGTCAATTAACCGAGCCCTTACATCAATAGAAAATAAAAACAAAAGCTAATAGAACAGGAGTCTGAAATGTGATTTGTAATTACCAAAATAATTTATCAACATATTTAATGAATTTCAGAAAAATCAGAAAAATCAAGAGATTAATCTCTAAAGCATCTTCCAGTACAAAATCTCAAAAAAGTGGGAACTTTTCACTTTGATTTGTCATCAATAGTCCATGAATCCAGTTGAGAAAATATTTTTTGTGCAAATAATCCTTGAGACCAGAGTATTTCAACAGTAGGTTTTCTTGGCAAGATTATATGGTATGGTTTTCAAGACACCATCAAAGAATTTGATTATGAATTCAGAATTTTTTTCTTCCATAATCTAACAGAACCCACACAGATCCTTTCAAGTCTTCCACTTGATGATCATTGCTGAAGTTTCCCAGCTCAACCGGTGGGTTTGTGATTCTTTCCTATCATGAGATTTCTTTTGCTGTGTATCTCTTTTTGATGCAAGCTGTTTTAATCTGTCAATGATTTCCTTCAATAAGTACAAAATTTGAGACTCAAGGGGCATCATTTGACATGTGCTGAATCGTCTTCAAGTTCAGTTGATGTCAAATAATTAAATCTGCCAATAAAAAAATGAGACTTATGGGGCTCTTTTCTACATGTGGCAAATTATTTTCAAACACCCAATATTGGAAAATACTCAAATATACAATTACACCAAGGGTATTTTTGCAACTTTGGATCTAAATCACTTTTACAGTCATCCTCTCAAATAACTTCTTTTACCCACTCAATGCAACTGAGCTACTGTAGTACAATTGACCAGAACAAGTTGCTTTTGGCATCATGCTTGTACTGTAGAGTCCAGCCGCGAAGGAACATTTTTGTTGCCCTACAAGGCATGGATACTGAATGAATAATAACAACACAGCTCTTCCCTCACTCTAAAATTGATTGATCTTGAAAATCATTCAGAAAAAGAAAAGTATTACAAAAATGTGGATTGTTTGTTTTCTCCCAGAAAAGTGAATCTTACTATAGGGAAGAAAGCCTGGCTTGTTAGAAGAAACAATGAGGGAGTTTATGAATCAGCGCCATCGGACATCTCGACATCCTCGTGGGATTGGGGAGAGGCAACAGGTTGAGGACAGATAGAAGGGTCGAGATGAAGGGTCTGCTTAGCCAAGTCGAGCGATTGAAGGACGAGTTGATGATCGTCCAAAGCCGCCTTATTAGCAGCGACAGTAGGAGAAGACGAAGAAGTGGAAGAGAGGATGATATTATCATCAAAGATGTCGACGCCTGAGCCGAGAGCGGCGACCAATAAGTCGAGATTAGATTGCGTTTTCTGGGGATTATTATCAGAGGATCGCAGGAGGTCTAATTCGTTAGGGAAACGATCGACGATGGTGGCCATATACCAGGCCCGAAAGCGTTCCTCATCTTGTTCCAATTGCTGGCGAGTAGATTGAAGGAGACCGTCGACTTGACGGGTAGGCGCTTTACTTTCAAAGCCAGCAGGCAGACTGAAATCCGGCGACGAATCGAGATAAGGGAGCGCTAGATCTGGGTCGAAGAAGGAGCTTGGGAGAGGAGGAGGTGGCGATTGTTCGACGGGCGATGGCGATCTTCTCATCATTTGTGGATTCGTCGGGTCTCCTCCATCTTGCGGTTGCAGGGCCCGTGCTTGGAGGTTCTGCTTTTTCGCCAACCGGCCGCGTTTCGCCGTCGGTCGATTTATTGAAGAGCCCGAGCTGGATGATGACGACGAGCTGCTGCTGTCGGTCGACTCGCTCTCACTTGAGCTTCCATGGCTATCTGATGATGACTTGTTGACAGAATTGGGCTATGAGGGTGCAATTAATCAACAAAACGTGTCGCTGTTTCGGTCAGTCATGGTAGAACAGGTTCCTTTTACGTACGTTTTTGGGTGTTGACTGATTTGATTGACCCGAGTCAGATGACGATGATGAGGAATCGCTCGAGTCATCGAATTTCTCAGAAACTCTTCTCCGTCGGACACGCTTCCTAGGTCGTGGTGGCATCTTGTTGAGGTTGTTTGTAATCTCTGCTTGAAGGAAACCCGCCTGCTGGGCTTCAAAGCAGAGGAGGGGAGTTTCGATATGCAATATCAATTTATGCAATATGCACCAGTCGAGACCTGGCCTGTGCATAAAATCATACCTTTGCTTCTCGGCTGGTCTCAAGCTTACAAAGCAGCCTCTCTGCGAGTGTGTTAGAGCATCTCCACCGCGGTCCCTAAATCGGGTCCCCATCCCGCTTTTAGGGACCGCAGCCCAAAAAACACCTCCCACCGCAGTCCCCATCGTCGTCCGTATTTTACGGTTTTGATCATCGGTCCCTCTCCAGACCCTGGATCCAAGGATTGGCTAGGGACACTGACATTCACAAGGATCACACACAACTCGTGTGTTTCCCCTGTGAAACATCCTTCCATTAACAACTCCACCTCCCCCGATACCCCCTATGTTCTAGTCTGGATACAGCAGCCAAGCCATCTGCAAACAGCTACCAATACTCCAACGACTCCTCTCGCCATGGCAACCCCCACACCCAACCAACCATTTCTGGATCCAAGTCTGGTATCCCCATCTGACGTCACGGTTGTTCAAGCTCCCGATAGTACCATATCCACATCCGATATCACTGTGGTTCCAGCTCGACAACCCACATCCGATATCACTGTTGTTCCAGCTCGACAACCCCCCAAGAAGCCATCCAAACCACAAGGCAAGAAGGCTGCCATGAATAACACAGATACCGCGGTCGATAAAACCACCAACAGTGCCACCAATACCGCTTCCAAGACTTCCAACTCCGCCATTGAACCTGAGGACGACACAGACAAAAAAGGCTGATCACGAACCTACCTCGAACACGAAAATCTGCAGCTGTGTAACTCGTGGCTCGAGATCAGTGAGGATCCCAAGAAGGGCACTGATCAGACCTTTAACGCGTTCTGGGAGGCCATTGCAAGGCACTACGCAACTCACATCCCAAACGCCCCGCGATCCGCCAAAAGCCTGAAGAATCATTGGAGTGACAAGATTCAGAAGGAAGTGAACCGATTCGTCAGTTGTGTTAATCAAGTCCAACAAGCAAATCCCAGCGGGACGAATTCGGCCAACCGACTCACCATGGCAATGTCAATGTATTCAAGACTCTACGAAAAGCCCTTCACTATGCTCGGTTGCTATGAGATTCTCATTACATCACCAAAATGGAACGACTACTCGCGTGGCCTTGCAAAAAAAAGAGAATCAACTTCTACAGCCGTGAACAAACGCAAGGAGCCCGACAGCTCATCAACCAACTTACCCAGCACGAATTCTACGACTACAGATGCTTCAAACGGCGGTCGTGGTGGGGATTCTTCTAGCGATGAGACTTGCGGCCCTCCGACTCGCCCGATCGGCCGTAAACGTGCGAAATGCGACCAAGCAGCTGAACTAGCAGCCAAAAAAACTCAGGAGAGCCTCAAGAAGATGGCTCAGGCTCACTGTGATATTGCTGAGGTCGCTAAAAAACAAAGTAGCTTCCTAGACGCTCAACAGGCCGCCATGAATCGTTTGGTGGATGAGTCGATTATGTGCAAGGACCTCTCTGGAGCGAGCGAGATGATGAAGAGATATTATTCATTCGAGCAATCCAAGATCATGGCGAGATTGGAAAAGGAGCATTCTGCTTCCAGCAATGCGACTAGCACACGGGCTCCTTCGACGAACACATCTAGCAACAATGCGACTAGCTCACAAGCTCCTTCAACAAACACATCTAGCGCACCAGCCCAAACAAATACTATAGTAGAGTGATTGTAATCTTCTTTTTATCGATCAATCTCGGTCTTGTGATGAATTCTTTTCCATCTTTCTCGGCCTTGATGTCTATTGAATCAATCTTGTTTTAATGTCATTGCCTGTCCTTCTGGTTGAATCGATGTCCTTATTTATTCAATACAATTTTTTTTCCTCACAGGTGATTAATCACATTATTGGATTGTCTCGATGTCACCTTATTTCTTCAATTCAATTTCTCTCCTCTAAGTTAATGGGCAAAACCAAAGTGATTGAAAATTAATTACATATTTCCAAATAAATAAGACATTGAGAATTGAGAGACGAGTGAGTGAAAAGCAAAAGCGATCAAAAATGAGAAGCGATCAAAAAAATAAGTGGTAGAAAGAAAAAATTGATAAAGAAAAGCTTGAAAAGACAAAGTTGCAAATCACTCGGAATTGGAACCTTCTTCATCCAATTCACTTGAGTCGTCTGGGTAGGGAAGGGGTTCCTCCTCTTCGCTGATATCCTCCTCAAGTTGTCCCTTTCGTGTCCAAAGATGAGCAATGAGATCATCTCGTAGAGCAAAATGATTCTCGGAATCTCGCATTGTTCGGTAGTTCCGAATAAAAACAGAAAGATCTCCTGATCGTGTTGCGTCAGGCCGAGTGGATTCAGATTGGGATATCCGATCGTAGACATGGTCATGAGGAGTATCTTGCTCATCCTCCACAATCATGTTGTGGAGGATTATACATGCTCTCATCACTTTTTGAAGCTTTTGATGGCTCCATGAGAGCGCTGGCCTCGCGACAATACCAAACTGTGCTTGAAGCACTCCAAACCCTCTCTTGACGTCTTTCCTCGCCTTTTCCTGCATTTTGGCAAAGTACTGATTTGTTGGGTTAAAACAAACACACAATCAGAATTTTCCTATGTCAAACCAACAAAAAACAAAGCCACATACCTTCCGTTGAAGCCCCTGGGGCTTCGAGATTGTCTTGATCAAGGTAGACCAATCGGGATATATGCCATCGGCAAGATAGTAGCCTTGGGTATATGTATTTCCATTGACGACGTATTCGCACCGGGGAGTATTTCCATTCAGGAGATTTTGGAACAGCGGTGAGGCATCAAGTACATTCTTGTCGTTATGAGAGCCTGGCATCCCAAAGAATGCGTGCCAGAACCACAAATCTTCGGATACAACGGCTTCTAGCACAAGCGTGGGGACCTGTATACAATAAGTTTTAGTCAGTCAACGAAGATCATGATGAATAAAATGTCGTCTAAATACCTTTTCTTTACCCTGATACTGCCCCTTCCAACCGGTTGGGCAGTTCTTCCACTCCCAATGCATGCAATCCAGGGAGCCGAGCATGCCAGGAAAGCCTCTATCTTTGGAGTTGGATAACAAGCGCTTTGTGTCGGCCTCGTTTGGTGATCTCAGATATTGACTGCCATAAAAGTTAATAATTGCTTCAGTGAAATGATCGAGGCTCTCAAGCGAAGTCGATTCGGCAATACGTAGGTACTTGTCGTTCGCGTCACCGGCCCCGCCATAGGCTAGAATTCGAAGTGCAGATGTAATCTTTTGAATGGGATACAATCCAGGTTTCCCAATGGCATTGCACTTCCGAACAAAGTAAGTATCGTGCTCCGTGACATCGTCGACTATCCTCAGAAAAAGGCTTCGATGCATACGGAAACGGCGCCGGAATTGGTAGTCGTTGTATCGTGCCCGCGGTGTTTCAGAAAAGTAATCCTTAGTTAATTGTTCGTATCCAGCCTCAAAATCCCGATCGATGTTTGCAGAACGTCCTTTCACATCATCCCTGACATGATTTCCCAGATGGGAAATCTTGTAAATTTTAGGGAAATCCTGTAAAAAAATTAAGATTTTTCCAGATTTTTTAGATTCTCTAAATTTTTTAGATTTTTCCAGATGTTTTAGATTTTTTTCAGAATTTTTAGATTTTTCTAGATTTTTTAGATTTTTTAGATTTTTCTAGATTTTTTAGATTTTTCCAGATTTTTTAGATTTTTCAGATTCTTGAGATTTTTCTAGATTTTTCCAACTTTTCAAGATTTTTCTAATTTTTCCAGATTTTTTAAAAAAATTCAGATTTTCTCAGATTTTTCAACTTTATAGATGTCTCTTAGTAAAAAAATCTGGAAAAATCTAAAATTTTTAGAAAAATCTAGAAAATCTAGAAATATGTAAAAAATCTGAAGAAATCTAAAAAATCTGGAAAATCCAAAAAAATTAGAAAAGTCTTTAATTTTTTTTACAGGATTTCCCTAAAATTTACAATATTTCCCATCTGGGAAATCATGTCAGGGAAGATGTGTTTTCTAGATCCACCGTGCTTTTGTTGCCTTTGTGCCTCCTCTAGTTCTTGTTCTTGTTGAAGTTGATATTGAATTGCCGCCGCGCCACCTTGAACAGTTGCCAGTTGAATTTGAGTTGAAGAAGCGAGAACAGTTGATTGGGCTGAGATCATCGTCTGTAGGAGGGATAGCCGGTCCATAGCTGAAAGAAGTCTGGAGGAACATCCGGGGGAGGGCGGGGAGCAGATAGTGACCCAACAAAAGGGACCAGCGGTGTGTGCCGCAGCACCTTGGGTCTGTAAAGCTGGTACTGCGGTCCCCAAATGCAAGGTTTTAGGGACCCGATTTAGGGACCGCGGTGGAGATGCTCTTACAGGGAACAATCTTGTAGAGAGGCTTAGGCCCCCAAAGTTGAGTTTGGTTGGTGGCATCATTTTGCATTTACTTCAATTACCCTTTTGAAAAAGATTACAAAAAATCCCAAAAGATAGAACTTTTGCTTGTTAAGATGTGCATCTGTTGGTCCATTCCATTTTCTGTACCCTTCTAATCTTGATCTTGTAGCCACAAACAGAAAACAGAGCAAAATGGCTTGTTTTTTCAATTTACATGCGGGTTTTGACTCAAATTTGGCTTATGTAATACAAAAAAAATGTTGAAAATATTGTGTTTTCAAGAAAATAAATAAGATACTTCCATCCTCAAAATTGAAATAGGGTCTTGGCTAATCGACTCCCAAAAATTGGAGAGTTGAATCCCAAACCCCAAAACCCCCTGAATTTCCACCAAAATCCCCGAGGAATGGGAGTCAATCCCCCAAACCCATCAGCGGGTTTGGGAGTCAAAAAACCAAGCATTTTAATTAAAAAATAATCCATCCCCCGAAGGAGTTGGGGGTCAATGCCCCAAAACCCACTGGGTTTTGGGGGTTGCTAACCAAAAAGAGCCCGCGGCGGCCGGGAGGATTCCTCCCAGCCGCCAAATCCTCCCGGTAGCTGATGGCACACCCTCAGCGGCCAAGAGAAACACTCTCGGCCATTGAGAGTGTACACTCTCAACAGCCGAGAGAAACACTCTTGGCCGTTGAGAGTATACACCCCTCGAACACAGTGTTGTACACTCTCAGCACCGAGAGTGTTTCTGCCCGGCGTTGAAATGGACACACGGAATCGGCGAGAGTGTACGCTCTCACCAGTTAAGAATGGTCTCTACTCGGTATTGATAGTAATGCTCACCCATTTCTGAGACGCTTCTA